CATCCTCCAGGTGGCTATTGGGCAATTCTGGACCTACCTGGCAACAAGAGCAGGAGGTCCCTGGTCAGCCACCTCAATGACAAGTACCAGGACAGAAAGGACTAGAGACTATTCTGTACCTCCCCCCACCTCCCCTGGCCCACTGCACCAGCACCCGTCACGCCCTCCGTGTGTGGGGCCCTGTGCCGGTGGGAGTGGAAAGTCGGGTGCATTTCAGCGCATCCGCACGGGCCACGCGCAGGGGCCCTCCATAGCGCACTCGATAGTGCACGCTGTGATCTCCTGATAGGGATCTGCTCACTGGCCAGGAGGAATCAGCACGTCACCCACATGCTATGTCCTGGGGCCAGTTCTCAGGCCCCGGGCTCATCTTGCTGCCTCCTCCTCCTCCTCCCAGCCTTGCTGCAGTTCCCCACAACGAAAGCTGACTTAGATGTGTCCCCAAGCTGCAGAGAAGACCAGGAACCATTACGCAGTCAGGGCTGTGCACAGTCCAGGGTGGGGAGGGAGAAGCCAGAGCACAGGGCTGCCTGCTGCCCGCTGCCGTCTGCACCGAAGGCGCCGGTGTGCGATTCTGTGGCTGAGGTGGTGTGCCCGTCAAGGGTGGCTGACGGACGTACTCACCCGTGCACTGTCCGAGGTATGCGAGCACCGTGAGCTAGCATCGTGCCAAGCTGTCTACGAGTTGTACCGTCTGTGTCAGCCCTTGCTGCAGACTTGATGTGGAGGGCAGCGCCCCAGCTGCCCGGGTCAGGATGTGTCAATCTGTCCACATAGGCAGGTGCAGGAGCTATGGTGGGGACAGGTCTCTCCAGGAGCCCAGAAGCCCTGGGTGATCGTCTGGCTCCGCACTAATGAGATCCGTGACTTTGGACACACAATCTCTCCGAGAATCAGCTTCCTTGCCTTTAAACGGAGGACAGTCATCCTGCCCTATGCACTCCACAGGCTCGTTGTCAGGATTAAAGATAAGGGACATGAAAAGACTTTACATGCGAACAGCGTCATGTGCATGCAAGTCATTTGCTTTATTATCTTTGCTTGGGTGGGAATATTTGAAATCGACCATGTCCTGGAAGTAACTTTTCGGTAGAGGTATTGTCTTGGGGGCCCTGCATCTCGTACTGGCAGGAGCATAGGCCTTGAGGCCAGATCAGTTTGGGTTCAAAGTCAAACAGCTAATTAGCAGTGAGAGATCCTGGGCAAATTAGTCTACCTCTCTGAGCCTCAGCGTCCTGTCTGCAAAACGAACAGTCAGGTGGGTCACCTGACCTCACGCCAGGCCCCGCCCTCTCTGGGCCTTAGGTGCCAGTCTGGAAAAGGAGAATGACAACAGCTAACGAGCAGAGCAGGCCGGCGCTGAGAATTAGATGCAACCGGAGTGGGAGGTGCCTGGCCCCCGGCAGGTGCACAGGATTAGCCTCTGCTTTATTCTCTCCGTCTTCTCTTCTGCCGCTGTTCTGGGGTCCTGAAGCCCTTTCAGTGGCCAGCGTCCCCTTCCGTGGGCAAATCCCCCCCTACGGGATCAGAGCAGATCCGACCTCAGACTGTTACCGCCTGCACAAGGTGGGTGTCCGTACCATTCATCCCACGGCCTGCACCCCATTTCCCTCCCAAACGGAGCGTTGATCTCGGGCTCCCGTGCTCCCCGTTGAAGTGAGTGGGGAGGAAACTGAGTCTGTGGCTTTTCCCCGTACCAGGCTCAGAAACCACGTCAGGCCCGGCCCGGTTCTGGAAGACGCCTCACAGCAAGTATCTGGTGTATCAACTCCAGCTCTTGCCTTGAAGCTCAGCTCAAGTGTCATGCTCTCTCTTTTCTGCCCCCTGCGGACCGGATGCCAGTCCCCTCTGTGCTCCGACCGCCTCTCTTGATTGACCCTCAAAGCATGGCGCTGCAGTAACACGTCCCTTTACCTGCCCGAGTCCTCCGTTTGCAGATCCTCGGAGGCAGAGGCTCGACCCCATCATGTTCTTCTCTCTCCCTACCCGAGAACCTGGCATGGCGTCTGTGTCGAATTGTGTTCTATGGAGAAGGGTCTGTGCCAAGGAAATGGCAAACTATTTAGTGGGTGTGTTCCCTTGCCTAGGCCCAAAGGCAAAAGTGGGTCAGTGTGCAAGAGAGAGGCCCAGAAGGTGACAGGGGAACAAGGGAAGGTGGCCAGGAAGGGCGTGTGTGTTGGGGTGGGGGGTCATGGGAGGTGCGTGTTTGTCAATCCCCAGCCCACACATGGAGACAATGGCTGCTGCCATCGAAAGATTAATTGGCCTGCAGAAGGTAGGAAGTGAGCAGCACCTGGGGTGAAGGGGAGGGTGTGGCGTGTGCGCAGAAAGGCACCTGTGGCTGCGGCCACTCCCTCCATCTCCCCCTCCTGGCTGGCCTGAGACCCAGGGTCAGGGAGTGATCACTGACCTAAGGCCCGGAGGGTGTGGGTCAGAGGCCACGGGGCCTGGGAGCTGTCTCTTTCTAGCTCACCAGGTTCTCACGCAGAGGGAGAGAGACGATAAAGAGGCAGACAGATTTCTCTGGGAAAAGACAGAGCGATTGGCAGCAGCCACCTCCAGACCCGGTTTATGAGGGGAGGGGAGGGGCCGGGTCTGAGAGTCCTGGGAAGAGAGACTCGCCATCCGTTCGGGGCTGGGTCAGAGGTCACCCTCACATAGCCACAAGCGTCGATCTCTCTGTCTCTCTCCCTCACCTTCTTATCTCTGACTTGGAAGGCAGTGTCTGGCTTCCAAGAGCGATTGGCAGCAGCCACCTCCAGACCCGGTTTATGAGGGGAGGGGAGGGGCCGGGTCTGAGAGTCCTGGGAAGAGAGACTCGCCATCCGTTCGGGGCTGGGTCAGAGGTCACCCTCACATAGCCACAAGCGTCGATCTCTCTGTCTCTCTCCTTCACCTTCTTATCTCTGACTTGGAAGGCAGTGTCTGGCTGGAGAGGGATGAGGAAAAGCAGAGCGAGCAAGAGCACGAGAGGTGAACGAGGGAGAGGCGTAGACGCGCGATCACGGCTCTCCCCACCAGTGAGCTGTCAGCGATCCCGCGGATGCCACTACGCTCTTCATAACCATGTCAGGCGGACGCGTCGGGAACCGACAGCGAACACCACAGCAGAGCGGAGCGCTCAAGCCGGATTTGCACCCGCACGCCTCCTCCCTAAGGCGCCCTGGCGGTCCAGTGGGGATGCTCAAGGGACCGAGAAAGCTGGCAGAGGCGAGCTGAGTGGCCCTCGGCTTAGCCCAGAGCCCAAGACAGCCACTGGCCCGTGGAGTCCGCGGTGGGGGGCAGGGGGCCGGCGATGGTGTTCTCTTAGGGGAATTTTATGGCAGCCCCGCACTTGACCAGGAAGGAGTTAGGCACATAACCAGGGAAGGAGCGAAAGCATTGCGGGAAAAAGAGAGGTCCTTTAGGAACCGTCTGTGCACGTGTGCACACACACAAGCAGACGCCCCCTCACAGGGGGCCGGCACACGCACACTCAGTGCCTCCAGCTGCAGCCTGGCCTTGCACAAGCCCCTGCTCCCTCGGGCCCCAGGGCTATAACCGCCGCCTCTTCCATGCCAGGATAACAAAGAAGTGGCATAAGTGAAAGAAGCAGGTGTGTCCAGTCCTGCCCCAGGTGGCTGCCCCTGGCTGCCCCCGCCCCCCAGGGCACAGCGAGTGCGCCGCACTAGCCAGCCCACTCAGCGTCACGGTCAAAGTGTTCCCTTCTCTGCACATTTCTCATTTACCGCCCCCCCGCCCCCGCCCACCATTAGCTTTTAAGAAACAGGTGGGCCCGGTCTGGAGAAGGAGCTGACCCTGGCCCCACGCTGAGGTGTTTTCTCGGCTTTTCATCGTGTGAACTCAGGTGTGCACGGGCGCCTTGTAGATGCCCCGGGTTGCTCTCGCTCCAACTCCATTTTCCCGCCCCGCCCTTGCTGGGCCCGTCAGCCCTTTCTTCACCAGCCTCCCCTCTCCCTTCACCCCTCCCTCAGCCTCAGGAGCCAGGAGCTTCTCTGGCATTCCTTCAGTGAGGCTCAAGGGAGGGACACTGACCTCTGCCGTCCCTTCTCGACGCTGCCCGCAGAGCCATCATTCCTCAGGGGCCCCACGACCATTCTTACCAGAACCCAGAACCTGGCCAGCAGAATACCTTGCGAACAGTTGGGAGGAGACGTATCTTTAAAGCCCAGCGCCTGCTGTGAGAGCAACACCTGTCTCCTCTGTCATCTCCCTGCCTCTGGCCTGCGAGGCAGGCAGGAGCGAGAGTTTTCTGTGCTCTATATTCTGAAGTAAAAGTGGGGGGTGTGGGAAGACGGGGGTGGAGAATGGTAACTATTTGGGGGTACCCAAAGAATTCCTTAGGCCAAACAGCTGTTTTTCTTTACTCGCCATCTCTGTGTCGGGAGCCCCATCAATGAAGCTGGCAGCCGCCTGTCAGGCCCAGACATCTGCCAGTCATTTGAGCCCTTCGGCGCATGGCCCACTTACCCGACCTGCCATGTGGTGCGGCCGTGGCTGAGCTGGCCGCTTTTCCTTTCTCGGCCGGGCTCCCGAGGGCAGACACACAATCTTGTCGACTGCCTTAAACGCTGCTTTGAGAAGAAGCCACACGCCAGACAGTTTGGTCAGATCCGGCTCAGAGCTCTGACGATGGGCTTCTCTCTTCTTTTCTTCTTCCTTGTAATTTTCCCTATCTTCTCTGCTTCTTCCTCCTCTTTCCCCTTTTCTCTGTCTCTCTTTTTCTGTCTCCTTCTCACACACCCAGAGGTATATATACCACACGCATGTGTATGCACTGGGAAATTCTCAACGATCACATCCGTTTTGGTGTTTTTCCTAACGGAAGTGTTTCCACCCCTATAATCTGCTCATTTTTAATTATTACAACCCTACTCAAAGAAAGGTTTTTTTGTTTTTTGTTTTGTTTTGTTTTTTTACTACTTTGACAGGTGGGGGAAAAACGGAAGTATGGACACTGGGAGAACTTAGAATAAAAAAACAGGTCGATCCTTCATAGATTCAGTTAATGGATATTTATTACGCACTGCGTGGTACCAGGAATTGTGCCACGCACAGGGGACACGAGGCCGAATGAGGTGGACATCATGTTTGCTTCTGTGGAGTTTATAATCTACTAAAGAAGATGGACATTCAAACAAGTAAGTTCAATAAAGCACAGGATGTGCAATCAAAGGGAGATACAGGTGCCCTGGAAACAGAGCAGGTGTACTCTAACCTGGCCTGTGAGACAGGGACACCGCCCCCCACACAGACAGACGCACGACCAATGCAGGATCAGGTTGAGAACTGGAGGATCAATAGACGTTACAAAGATGGAAGCGGGGACGGGTGCAGAGAGGTAGAAAGGCACGGAAATTGTGAAGGCCGAGGAGGAGGAGACTGCAGCACCGTTCAGCACTAATAATAACTTAGCTCGGTGACACAGTGTGCCCCAGGGGAGGTTGCGAGAGTCGGCTCGTGGGAGGGCTTTTGGAAGACCACCGTTTGAGGCAAGAGTTGTGTCTGGCAAAGACCGTTTTGGCTGCAGGGTGAACTATGGCTTGGAGAACCAGGATGGCGAGCGGATAGAGCAGCTGGAGACCTCTTCCTGTGCTGCCGCCAGGACACAGTGCTGAGTTATAATAACACAGTTTCAGAGTTACAATAGGGCTGGGAGAGGCAGAGACCACGAGAGGTTTGTTTAATGTGATACTGGCATGGAACGTTCTTCAAAATACATTACGACAAAAAGCAGGAAAGGTTTTTCTAATATATTGTATATTCGCATATGTTCTTCAGAGGAATATATACATACATATGCTTAGATATGCATAGAGTATTTTTGGAAGGATATAAAACAAACTTTTGTACGTGAACGTCCCTGGGAAGAACACCGGAAGGGCCGGAGAGAGAGGTAGGAAAGCTTTCATTCCCCATGTATCTTGTGCGCTCTTTGAATTTTGTACCATGTGATGGATTATTAATCAAAATTAGTTATTTTTCAAAGGCGATGTTTTAGGCAATAGAATCCACAAGACTTGAAATTCGCTGGATAGGAGAGTCAAGACAGACGTGTAGATGATGCCTAGAATGCTGGCTTGGGCAACGTTGCCTATTAATTAGTTGGGGGCACCGGTGGAGGAGCGGGTTTGGTGAGGATGGAAAGCTGTTCCGTTTGGAACATGTTGAGTTTGAGGTGTCTGTAAAATATCCAGGAACGGCTGTTCGATAGATAGACATCCAAGCTGTTCATGCCTAGAGCTCAGGTGACAGATCTAAACTGCAGATATAGAGATGGGAATCAGAAACGTACATGCTAATACAATCTACAGAAGTTGATGGGACTACCCAGGTGATGAGGAAGACGGAGAGCCTGCAGACCAAAAATATTTAAGGGATTGGTAGAGGGGAAGCCGATAGACGTGCTGAGAGGCGGTGAGTGGTTGGCTATAACCCGAATACTACAGAGAGTTTAAGCAAGACCGGAGGGTCCAGTGTACTTAGCTACAGGTGGATAGATAACCTGGATGAGAGTGATGTCAGTAGCGAGGAGAGGTAAGGTCAGATCACAATGGACTGAGGACTCAGTGTGGGGTCAGTGGCGTCTTCTCCTAAGAAGTTTGGCCCTGAAGAGGGAGTAAAAAAGATAGGGCGACTGTAGCCGGAAGGAGAGGCGGAGGGCGTTTGCTTGAAGATTTGTTTGAAGATGGACAAGGACAGAGCATGGCTGTGTGATGACTGGGGGGGGGGGGGGACGGGGAAGATACACGCATGAGAAGAGCGGAGGAGACGGCGATGGACACGGACGACTGGGGAAGGACAGACACAGAGGAAACCGGATCTGCGACACAGACAGGAGCTCGGCTTTCCACAGGAGAGGAAGTGCCTCCGCGGAGGACGGGAACACGAGGAATGACGGTGACGGGCGCCGGTGCACCCACGGGTGCATGCGTGCGTGCGCATCCATGCGGTCCTCGCCGTGCCAGTGCCCTGTGCTCCGCACGAGAATCCGCACGGACCTGTCCGCGCTTCGCAGATCTCGCCTACCATCTCTTGGCTACTCTAGACTGCGGTCCTCTTAAAATTATCATGGCGTCTTGGTGAGGGTGATGATCAGGCTGAGACGGGAAGTGAGGGGCTGGAGGGAAGTGGGGGGGCTGCACGTGAGGCCCTGTAACGGGCGCCTTGGACACCGATTTCCCACTTTCCTTCCAGGAGAGGGGCGGCCCATCTTCTGTTATCGGCATCCATCCGATGACTCAGCACAGGGTCACAGGGTCACAGGGTCACAGGGTCACAGGGAAATGTGACTGGCAGGAGACATAGCCAGGAGCTAACTCCAAGCACAAGGATGATTAGCTGCTAATGAGCCACCTGAGGGACAAACCAGGGACTGACCCGTAAAAAAAAAAAATGGGACAGTCCCTTCAAGCACAGAAAGGCATAATTTACCACACATTCTTAAAGACACACAAGGATGCAAATGAGATGCAAACGCTTTAGACTCTGAGCCTCAAAAAGCAAGGATGAGACAACTCAGGAACAACAAAAACATCCACACGATTCAAACATGGGCAAAGGACTTGACTAGACATTTCCTTAAAAAAAAAAAAAAAAAGATTTTCAGATGGACAAGAAGCATGCAAAAAGCTGTTCCATGTCATTAGCCATTAGGAAACGCAAATCGAAACCACAGTAAGATTCCGCGGCGCACCCATCAGGATGGCTACTGATGGGGACGTAGAGAAATCAGAACCCTTGTATTTTGCTGGAGGAAAACAGTGTGGCGGCTCCTCAAAGAATGAAGCGTAGATTTTGCCATGAGATCCAGCAAGTCCACCTCTACTCCCAGAGGAGCTGAAAGCAGGGCCTTGGATAATTACACGCCAGTGCCCACAGCCATATTACTCCCAACGGCCAAAAGGTAGAAACAACCCAAATGTCCACTAATGGGTGAAAAGATAAACAAAATTTGTATCTGCATACAATTAAATTATTATTTGGCCTTGAAAGGGAATGAAATTCTGATACATGCTATGAAATGGATGAATCTTGAAAACATTATGCTGAGTAAAATATGTCAGCCACGACAGAACTAACACTGTAGGATTCCACTGTGATGAGGTGCTTAGAACCGTCCATTTTATAACAGAAAGTAGAGTATTGGTTACCAAGGGCTGTGTGGAAGGGAGCGTGGGGAGTTAATGTTTAGTGGGTACAACAGTGTCACCTTCGGATGACGAAAAAGTTCCGTAGGTGAATGCCGCTGAATACAACAATGTGAATGTAATTAATGCCACTGAACTGTAGACCTAAATGGGGTTAAAATGGTAAATTTTATGTTCCATGTATCTTACCACAGTAATTTTTTTTAATAAAGCAAGGATAAAGAACCTTTCCTCTCGCGGGGTTTGGTTGCTAGATGGGGAGACAGTCCTGCCAGGGTGTATGAGGAAGAGAAGGGCCAGCACCTCAGTGCCTGGCCTGGCTCTCCCACATCCGGCCTGTGGGCGCAGGCCGGCTACACAGCGGACTACTTCCTAGTGCCTGCAGGGGGCAGAAGGAGGCATGGTCCAGACAGTAGTCTGGCAGCCCTATCTCATGTCTTTGACAGCCAAGTCCAACTTTGCTGGACAGGATACCTTCTTTTCCTAGGATGTGGGACTTCCAAGAACCCAGAAGGTGTGTGGGACGATGGATGCCCACGGCCCGCCTCCAGAAATGCTCAGGTGAAGGATGAGGCCTGGTCCTGAAGAATTGTTCTGTCCACCCTCCCGTGGCTAACGGGCATGGACCTTAGCTACCTGCACAGGAGAGTGTCCCTCTCTCTGCCCCCAGCCCCCGCCCCCCCGCCAGGCCGCCTGGAGTTGCATCCAGAGTAACAGGGGTCCCGATCAAAGGTAGACGTTTTCCTCTCCGTCCCCCTCACCAAGGTCCAGTCCAAGATTCAAGTGTCCCATAAGTGTGTTGCGGCGAAGGACCTCCCAGCCGCGGTGGCTGCTGCTGCTGCGGGATGTGGTCCGGGACAGAGAGGGGGTCGGGGAGCCCAGGGAGGCTCTGGCTGCAGCCCCACTTTCAAACACAGAGGGCCGCTTCTCAGAAAGGTGCTCTGGTCCATCCTCCTTGTCTGAGGACTTGAACGCTTCCACGTAGCGAAGCACTCTCAAGGGATTTTGATCCTGGTGGCTCTCGATTCTGAGGACAGAAGTGGGGAAAGGACTCAGTCGAGCTGGGGAGAGATGGGGGGACTCGGGGGCATGGGGGCACGTGGAGGAGACTGGGCCAGGAGGAAAAGGGGAGGAAGGGAGCAGAGGCGAAGTGAGAAGGGCATCGCGGATCGAGGGAAGGGAAGGGAAGGGCCGTGGAGAGGAGCGTGAACCGGGGTGGAGGCCGGCGAGGCCTCGCGGTCAGGATTTGGAGACTAGTGCGGCGTGTGTGTGGGTACGGTGCTGGGGGAATGTGGGTGAATGAGAAAGAGGAAACAGAGCCAATGAAGAAATAGATACAGCACAAAGATGAGGAGATGCAATTCAGGAAATAAATAAGACAAGAGACGCAGGCGACGAGCTCAGGGTAGAGGATGAAGGAGGTCAGCGTCGAGGCAAGAATATACTAGAAATGAGGGTCAGGTGGGAAGAAGGCTGGAGCAAGGTGGAGGACCATGCCCGCATCCGGCATGAACACACGTATGTAGCCTTTCCGTGTCACTGCCCTGAGGCGCACCCAGCCCGGCCTCCGCTACCGCCATGCTTTTCACCCCGACTCCGCTCCAGCCCCTGCTCCAGACTGGGCGACACAGTCTCACTTTATACAGTCATGACGTCTCCCTTGGGATCTCGAAAATGGAGAGGAGGGCGATAAATGCGGAACCGGTCACCCTTGCCCCCATGGCGTCACACGTTTTCAGTTCACGCGTGTACGCTGCCACTCACCGCAGGAACCAGCGGTCCCCCAGCCCGTACTTGCGCCCACAGATCCCAGAGCGAGGCCACAGGAAGCGAGGCATCTTCCTCTCCAGCATCACCGTGGTGGCCACGACCTGGAAGCAGCAGGGAGGCAGAGGAAGAACTCAGAAAGAACGATGGGGTTCAGAGAGTGCTGGAGGCCACCGACAGAGAGGACCCTGAGGCATCGGTGGGACGAGGACACCGGAGGTCAGTGGAGGTGACAGGCATTCACCCACCCCTTGGCCTGTGCTACCTGCTTTACTCATCATTAGTCATAAAAGGAGAGAGAATCCTTTACGAGTGTTATGAATAAAACAGCGACTCCTAAATTACTATTCGGATTCATGGAAAATGAGTCATTCCAGACTAACCTCATTTGCTTTTTCATAGAAAAGCCATAGACCAACTATCTTGATTTAAATAAAATGATTAAATAGCATCTCAGTGACCTGGCAGATGAAGTAGTGCTGTTGGTATTCAGGGAATGTATAGCGAATTAAATGCCCACCCCCTAGGAGGAAAAGAGTGCCTTAATGACGCAGACTTGCTGGGGAAAGTTTTAGTGGCAGGTCACATGTCCTGTACTTCGCCCAGCCTTCATTAATTACTTAGATGAAGCACAGAAGAAACACTTATCAAATAGGCCCGTGACACAAAACTGGGAGGGATATGTCATTTGCAAGGTGACAGAAGCAATAGAAAAAAATGACCTCAGCAGACTGGAATGCTGGTCAAAAACCAATAACATAAAAGGTAAGGAAACTAAATGCAAGTTTCTCCATTTGTGTTTAAGGCTCACGTATCTGTATAAGCACAGAGAAGCGGTAAAGGAGCCCAGCTGAGCAAGCTGTGCAGCAAGGGTGGGAGACGTGAGGGTTCCGGTTGGTCGTAAGCTTCATAGGGGCCAACTGCATCCTTTCTAAAAGACGTAGCTCGATTTTAGGTGCAATTTACAGCATAGTGTCCAAAGCGAGGAAAGACACGGCCGCTCTTCATGACCTGCCTGCCTCCCTCCAATCGTGTCAGGACCGCTCTAGTTTCAAAAGGACCACGATCGGTTAGGTCACAAAGAGAATGGCGCCATCGGGATGGATGGGGCCCAGGAAGCTTCACTCATTGAAGGAACGACGAATCTTTCAAAAGTCCACCCCCCACTCTGTATTCTTCCCTGTCTTTTTAGACAGTCCACACCTCGCGACCTTCTGTCTATTTCTTAGCTGGACCAAGCTCCCTCCAACCCTAGGACTTGAGATCGCTCTCTGCCCTTTCCCTGGATAGCCCTTCTGCTTCTTTATCTTGCGAAGGACGTTTATTATTTCTCCTGGCGCCATCTTTCAGACCCCCACCTTCTCTGGTGACAACGCCCATCTTTCATTTAGGCAATCTCTGTCACCGCTCTCAGTCCGTCAGAGTGGACTGGACTGCACACAGTTCTGGCTAATTAGTATGTTCTCCCCCAAATTCTACCACCACCACCATCTAGTCCTTGGCCTTAACCTTCAGTTGAAGGATCCTATGACTCACACTCATTGTAATGGGTTTCGCTGGGGGAAAGATGTTCTTTTCAAGGCTACGTACTTCATAGCGTTAGGAGGCACGCAGAATCCAAAATGAACGGGGGCCTTGGAATGGTGCTCTGTGGTACACCTGCTCTTTCCTTTGGGAGTTTAGAGCCTCTCTGAGCTATCTCCCCAGCATGATGGGAGAGACCCCCTTAGAAGAGTCTGGACGAAAGAGAGTTGAACAGAAGAATGAACGTAACGTGTGAAGTGAAGATCTGGGCTCTGGCCAGATCTGCCTAAAACTGGTTTAATTCCTTCATCTTTTCATTTATGCGGACCAACACATCCTCTTCCTGTCTTGTTTCTTTTCATTTATGCGGACCAACACATCCTCTTCCTGCTGTCTTGTTTGTTTTTTGTTGTTGTTGTTGTTGTTTTGTTTTGTTTTTTAAGTGTACTCGAGTTTGGTTTTCTAGCCCTGTAGCCAACAGTCCTGACCGATAGAAACTCTAACCTCCATCCCTCTCCATCATTCTTCATTGGCTACCCCATGTTTCCATCTTGAACGTCACTCTATCAGAAAAGTGTTTCCTAACTTTCCAGTCAGACTCTGCGGTTGCGTCCTGTCCTCAGCGTGTTCTACTTCACTACGACACTTTTACTGCAATTGTGCAGCTTTCCGGGAAGTCATTTGTTTTATGTCTGTCTTCCCCACCACACCGTGAGCTCCAAACTGTGGGCACAGATGTGCATCGGCGTGTCCATGCTTAATTTGTATCCCCAGCTCTTGGACGTTTCTCACACACGGCAGGCTCTAAATAATTGTTAAATGTATGAAGAGTCGGGGAGGATAAATAATGGCTGTATTCAAATATTTGACTGGTGCTCATATGGAAGAGTGTGTCCTGCCGTATCCAAGAAGAAAAGACGAGGGCCAAAGAATGGATTACAGAAAGTTAGGTTTGAGCTCATTGTCACATGGACTTTTCCAATTAAAAAAAAAAGTCTGAAATGTTTTGTAAGCTCTCCTCCCACCCACTGCCCAAATCCACATGATAATAAGGTCCTGATCGGCATTTAAAAAAACACCGAATGACTCCTCTGACCAGTAAATGATTATACACTGGGCAGAAAATCAACTAAAGGAGCACTAAACACACTTCCAACTCCAAAGCTGAATTTGCCTATGATAACATAGAGAAAAGATCACAGAGAAACAGGTAGTTATAGAAGGTAATGAAAGATAAGGTCCAAATTAAAAACCAGGATATATGAGAACGAGATGGTTTCTGGTTCCCACTGGACTCAGAAATGCCTCCTGGGTCTACTCTTCCCTTGTGATCAACACCTTCCGATCTTGGGTGGTCAACCTACCCCTATCCTCCCATTTTACCCCCCTTTGGTCCCCTCCACCTATCCCAATGTACCTCTGTTGAGGCGATGGTCCCACTGGGTTTTCCGTGACTCTCCTAAGAGTCGTCCGCCATGACACATCCCGTTTCGATTGTTCTCTCCATCCCCTCCACCTTAGTGAGATGAACACTGGCAAACTCACCTGGGCCCTCCAGAGCTCATCCCGCTCCTGGGCCACCCGCCAGTGAGTGTCGCCCATCATGGCAATGAACAGGTTGAGCATGAGCAGCGTGGCGATGATGGCGAAGGCCGCATAGGTGATGCAGTACATGAAGGGCAGGTCCACGTCGTAGTTGGCGGGCCCGTCGATGATGGTGAGGAACAGTTCGAAGGTGCTGAACAGTGCCGTGGGGTAGTCGTAGAATTCCCCCAGCTTCTCTGGGTCCTCCGTCTGGAAGACGATAAAGAACGCTGCTCCGCCAGGAAAAGGGTGACAGGAGGAAAGAGAGAGTCACCACGATGAGGTCGGGCCCGGGGGACAGTCATGCCCCCTCCCTCCATTCACGCCACCTCCCTCCATTCACGCCACTTCCCTCCATTCACGCACACTCACACGGCCGCAAGGGTGGACGTGCGAAGGCACACGCGTAAGCCACAGTTTACCTGTGGACACCCTGAGATGTCCCATGACAGGGTTCATCACTCTGGATAATGACAATACTCAACCACCTAGCAAAATATTAGAGGTATACAGTAGTCCCCTGCACCCCGATCAATGAGGGACTTGTTCCAAGACCCCCCGGACGCCTGAACCACCCACAGTACCGAACCCTACAGATGCTATGTTTTTCCTGTACACACATATCGACAATAAAGTTTAATTTATCAGTTGCGTACAGCAAGAGATTGAAAACAATAACGAATAATAAAATAGACCGATTTAAACAATGTGCTACAATAAAAGTTCCGTGAACGTGGTCTCTCTCCATATCTTATCCCATACTCACTTTCCACGTGCAGGAAGCCCCTTTACGGCTTCGCTTTGGAATCTCCGAAACGCCAGCATCACTACTCTTGGGCTTTGGGGCCATTTCTAAGTGAAATAAGGGTGCCTTGAACACTAGCCCTGCAGTACTGACATGGTCCATCCGATAACCGAGGTGGCTACTAAGTGACTAATAGCTGGGGAGAGTCCACGGCGTGAAGATGCCGTCCAGGGGGATGGCTCACGTCCCAGGAGGGACGCAGAGGGATAATTTCATCACGCTGCTCAGAACAGTGTGCGATTTAAAACTCACAAACGGCTTATTTCTGAAACTTCCCATTTAATATTTTCAGACTGTGGTTGGCTGTGAGTAACTGAAACCATGGGAAGCAAAGCTGTGGATAAGGGGGCGGGGCACTAGGTTTTATATTTTCAAAAACTAAATATTTAAAAGGCAAGTTGTTATTAGAATGCGTGGAATCTTCAGTAATTTTAAAGAACTGAGCACATGAAAAGCTTAAAAGAAAAGCACTTTTAAAGAAAATCTCCGTGGCCGTTAGATCACCATCCATCACTCTGAGATCCCCTGGCTGGATCGCCGTGTAGCCGGTGGATGGTCCTGGACCACCTGGAACCTCATTACAGCGCTAGCACCTTTACAAGGCTCTTCTCTGTGTGGGGAGCTGTAATGTAAGCGAGGTGATCCCCAGAGCAGAAATAGGGTCTAGGACGAAACACTGCTTTTTTACTTAAGAAAAAAAGAGATCGTTTAGGAGCTTCTGGGTCTAGTCAGCATTAGCTCGTTTTGCAGCCGTGTGCGTGCAGATGACGGAAAGGGTGTGTGAGGGACCCTCCGACCAGGCAGGCCCCACAATTTACCCTTTCACAGCTCAGCTCTTGGTGCAATTGTTTGGGTCGACTGTTTGTGGGGACCCCCATTAAACAGGGGACTTTTAGGACAGGAATAGTCCCTTTGTCCCGAGCCTTGGTCTTTCAGAGTTGGCGGGGGCAGGGAGGGGGGCGCATCTCCCAGCATCATCTAAGACGCCCCCTCAACTTGTGGCTGTTGGGTTGCAGACGCCGAAAACGAGCTTCGACTTGTGGTCTTTCTCTCTTCCCTCCTCTTTCCGCCGTTGCCAGGATTTTTCTTCTCCTCATTTGCCTCCCCTCTCCCTCCCTCCGGCTCTGTCTGCTGCTCCCCTGCTGTCCCCCACTGCGCCCCGGACCTTACGGGGTCCCTGCCCCCTCTTTGTCTCGTCTCTCGTCACACCTCTTCTGTCCCCTCTCTCACTCTTCAGACTCTCCGAATGTCGTCTTTTGTGCCACCTTTTTAGAATTCTTTCCTTTTCTCTCAGCTTTGACCACACAGAGGAGAAACAGCACATTGTGCGCTATCGAACGCTCTACGTTTCTTCTTCTGAAGTGTGAACGCGGAAGAGCTAAGGACTGCGCTGTCTCTGTTTGCCTACAATTTTCTGAGATCCACAACTGGCCAGTCTTCCTGTTTAATATCCCTTCTCTGTCCAAATCCCTTTTTTTTTTTAATCCCTCCTTTAAAGATCTCGTAGGGAGGTTAGTCAACATGAATATTATTGGCCCAGAAGTTCAGAACACATGGGTCTACCTTCTAGGCCACCCTGAGTGACCCTGATCTTGTGGATACGAGTGTGCTTTTTGACTCACCTTCCATCAGGAAAATAAAATAAAAAGCGAAAGGGAGCGTACGTGAGAACTGAGAGCGAGGGTGAGCGCGATCTTTCTGGAGAATTGGATCCCGTAATCTAGTGGGGGAGGGAGCAGTGCGCTTACCTGAGGCAAATCCCAGAATAACCACGGCCATCAGCCAGCAGAAACGCATTAGGTCTCCAAAAATCATCTGTGGGAGACAGAGAAGGGGACGGAGAACGGGGTCACCCTTTTTCCATCTATCTCTTAGCAGGAGGTCCCCAAACTTTCGCCAGATCCACACCGAGCATCTACTCTTTCCACTTCCACTCCCTCCCCGCTCCGAGTGGGAAGGTCCTATGGCTGAAGCCAGAGGGAACTTTGGGGAAGGAACTGACCTTCTGGATCATGATGCTGAAGGGGCCCAGCATCTGGAAGCCTCGGGCGAAGTACATGACGCTGCACCAGCCCAGCACCAGCGCGAGGGACATGGGCACCACCTCCCCGCTGGTGTCGGTGAGCCGCATCGCCATGGTCACCAGCACCAGGGAGGCGTAGGTGATGCTGGGGGGAGAGGGGGAAGCAGGGAATGAGGAGAGCTGGAAGCAGTCCGGGTCGCCTCCAGCACGCCCGTGACTTGGGTGGTACCCACACACGCAGGCCTAGTCTTGTCATACATCTAAAACGCACATACAGTCATGCATCTAAAACGCACATACAGTCATGCATCTAAAACGCACATACAGTCATGCAGCCAAGCCTCCTGGAGACAGGAAGCCCTGGCGGTGAGGGTCACCTGAGGTCTAGGCCCCAGAGAGACCTGGAATAATTCAGGCTCGAAGGAAGGGACACTCACATGATGACATGAAACGGTCCCCCGAGGACGGTCTGTCCAAAGTAGCGAGAGGCACCAACCCTGAAGATGTCCGGGATCTGGGAAGAGGCCAGTAAAACAGAAAACCCATGGAGACTGCAGCTCAGCCGGGGGACTCAGTAGATGGCCTCGCCCGGACCCCACCTGCACTCACCTCCAGGAGCAGCATGATCACAGCTCCGATGACGGTCACCAGCTCCCCTACCAGCCGGATTTTATCCTGCTCCATCACGTAGGCCTCCTGGGGGGTGGGGTTCAGGATAAGAAGTTCTTTCTGATGGCCTGAGCACCAAATCCTTTTGGGCAAGGGGGGCAAAGCAAGTGAGGTCTACCCAAGGTGAGGAAAAGCTCCCCGTGGCACTGCCCCCACCCCTCCATTGTACATGTCGTGTGGCTACCTCTGCGGCCCGGACATTTGTCTGTGTACCCAAGGCTTAGTATATGCTGCTTACGCTCTTAACTTGAGCCATCACCTAGCAAGTCACCTTTTATGCAATATGTCATGAGCAGTAATTTGTGATGTATGTACTGAGGGGCTGAGAGCTCATTTTAGAGCACCAAGTTAAGAAGGTCACAGCGACAGGAAGAGGTATCGGTAGCTTCGAATGGCTTCAGCTATGTGGAAAGTCCAGCTTTCCCGACTTCTCTCTGTTTCCCAGCAGGCGGAATAGACTTTAAACATAATGCAGGTTCCGGTATGTACTCAGATAGAACCTACCAGCTTTGGCAAAACCTCGAATCAATCATTAAACCTCCTTGAGCTTGAGGTTTCTCATCTGTCAAAAGGAAAGTCTGATGTTTATCTCTCAGGACCAATTGTGAAGATCAAAATAGATGAAGTATTTGGATGTTCTTCATAAACCCTAAAGCATTATAGATAGATATGTTGCGATTTTATTATGAGTTGGCAACAGGGAAAAGGGCAGACGAGGTGTTAGAGACACCGAACGGGCTTCAGTTCTGAGGAAGGGCCCACCTCACGCCGAGCAGTCGGTGTGGAAGGCACGGTTCTCAGGTCAAGATGGAGAGACCCTCCTCCTTCTGTGCCTGCTACTTCGCAGTGAAAGGCTCACCGCGTTACATGGATGTGCGGATCGAATCCCACAGTTACGGTTCTTAACGTTTTTGACATTATGAGCCCATTGGAGAATTTCATAAAAACTACGGACGCTCTTTTCCAGAAAACTGTGTTCATATATAAGTAACTCCCACATGAAATTGTACAAATAATTTCCACACATTCAAGTAAACCTTTAGGCTTTTGGCAACACCGCTCTCCAAGATCACACCTCTGAAAAGCACACCCAAGAGAGTCCCAGGGCCAGTGGGAAAGTTGATGATCTAAACTGGGGGGGATGGGATCCCTTGTTAGGCATAGGGAGTGCTGATCATCTTTACTCTTCTATAAACCGGACCCGCGAAGCATCCTCTGTGGGCTACTCCATCTGTGCATTTGCTGGTCCGGTGAGTGACACAGCTTTTGAAACAGAAAAAGATGCTGCAAGGCAGGAGGTGCCCTGCGGTATGAAGGAGGCGCCTACCTAGGGCCCCACGGCTGTGCAGGACGCACTGCTGGCTCCGAAGGAGCCAAGGGTACGGCCTTAGAGAGCAGGGCCAGACCGACCTGTGGACGGTGGAAGTGTTTGAGGTACATCACACGGGGCCGGGGAAGACCCACCACAGGGTTGGTGTCTGTGTGCCTGGTGAACAATCTGCCCTAACAACCTGCCGCTAGACTGCAGTGACTCTTCCGTTGTTTAAAGGATTGACGTTCTGCAAAGTTCTCCGATCTTCAGCTCTGTTGAGAAACTGGTACATTTTATCTCATCATAGAACCGGAAATTTCCCTTTTTGCCTTGCTTTCACGGAAGCTCAGAGCTCTTTTTTTATCCCCAGCTCTAGCCACTACTTGGATCCACCTCTCCCGAAATTCAGTTCGCGGGCCTCGTTCCGTTTCTTTATCTTAAGGTCCCTGTGGCATCTGTCCAGCTGTAAAACACACCGACTGTTTTTGAGAATCGGGTCATAAGTAGTAGGACGCCTGCCCCCACCTTTCCTCGGCTCGGCTGAGAAGCAAAGGAGCTGGCCGGGAGGGCCACAGGATCGGGGTGCCCCTACGGGACGGCGGTTCCCTCAGGAGATGAAAAGGTGAAACCACGACCAGTGGAGGATGCTGGGGACAGTTTCGGTCACCGCAACCGCCTTCCGGGGCCTCCCCTCATCAGCAGCCCTGTGCTTGACCAACGGATGCTCTTACAAGTAGGAGCTCCCCACACAAGGTTACCAGTGAGTGACAGGTGTCCAGAGACCCCAAGCTTTTGCGTCGGCTCCACCTGCGTTCTGACTGCCCTAAGGTAGCTTCTTCCGCCACTTCGTCCCCAAAGGTCCTCTCCCTTAAGCCAGGCAGCAGAGCGCCACCGTCTCCTCCCTCCACCAACTTGCTTTGGCTCATCCTCGCTCAATCCTCCCGACTCATCTAAGTGAACGGACGCTGACCAGACGCTGACCAGTGGGTCCGCGGGGCCGCTCTGCTGTGGCTCTCGCCTGGCCCGCTGCCACTGTCTGGGCGCTCCGGGTCTCACCAGTCATGTTAGAGGTCGCCGAGAGCATCTTTATCTACAACATACTACATGGTGGGTGCTCCATTCATAAGAAAGGAGGGAAGGAAGGAAAGGAGAGAGGGAGCAGGCGGGAACGTGCTGAGCGCGACCTGTGAGGCGCACGCAGAAGGGGCCAAAGGGGAATCAGGACGTGGGACTGGGGAAAAGGGTGACAGCTGATTAAGCTTTCCTGGGATTTCCCGATTCCTAGCTCAAAACCACCTGAGCAGGCCTGGCTAATAACGCCCTGAGAAAACATTCCACCCCACCCTGTGAAAAACAATTGTCTTCTAGCAATGACTGACTGCAAGTTTTCCCATCATCGCAGGGCTCGGAATGTCAGGAGCTGTCGACAGCCAAACCCCCCGCCGAGGCTGACTTCACGGAGAGTGGCCCCCTGAGACTGCTCCGGCTTATCGGCCGGCCGAGCCCACTGCCTGGAAGGAAACGCCCCGGAGGGGTGAGCAGAGCAGAACCTGCAGCCCGTGTGAGAGGGTGAGGAGCACAGGCTGCCCGGGAGGAAGCTGGGGACACCAGGAAAAGCTGTCGAACCCTCGTCCTAGAGCTGCTCTTCCTGCCCAAGGTCCCAGGCTCACCGAGGAAAGAACCCCCCTGGCCGGGAATGAAGACCGACTCTGACCCTCTGGACCGCGCGGGGGTTTCTAACCAGGCTGCACCCCAGAAACAACGAGGAAGTCTTTGTCAGAACATCCACGCCCAGGGAAACCGTGGGGACCCTCATTTGTTTGGAGCAGGGACCTCACATCTTTCTTTAGATGTAGGTGTTTCTGCTATGCACCCCAAGTTGGGAACCACTGGGCCAAAAAGAGAGGAAGACCTCCTGGTTCCCTAAGAGGAGCCCGTAGGAGGCGCCATAAGGGTTTGTTTCTCGTTCTAGTCTGCACTTTCTCAGGAAGATGAACCCCAAAAACCGCCGCTCCCCACAGAGGCATCCTCGCCATGTCAACGACTCACCCTGTACACGCAGGTCACCCCATGAAAACAGCACCTGCTGCCAGCTCTGGAGAACAGACGGCAGCTCTGGTAGCTGGGGTGGGAGGCATTTCCGTGTCTGACGCCCCTGCACCCCGGGGTCCCCCATCTC